TCACGGATCGACAACAGTTTCCTCAGTACTTTAATTGCGACTAGAACATTTAAGGTTAGGAAAAATGGCCGTTAGTAGGTCACGTGACCACGCTACTGTCCTCTAAGCGGCCACTAAACTCAAACTATTTTGTCTTTACTGGCGGCCAGTAGCTACTGGCCGTTGAAGCGTCCAGTACCTCATCACACGTAGACAGTAGGCGGACAATTACTGGCCGCCATTAATGGCTAGGTCTACTGGACGCCACTACTGTCCCCGTCTGCAGGGGGCTTTAATGTACCTTTAATGCAGCAAACATATAAGTAATCGTTAAACTAAATTCTATTTAAATAGGGAATAAATGTGATATTTTTAAGGAGGCATTTTAGTGTAGGCCTAAATCAAATCAGGCTAATGGAAATTTGCTCTGCAGGTTTGCAGTGTCGGGGGTATTTATATATCTTCCAATTCTTCACTCAAAACATTAATTACTTCATCGACTCCTTTTTCAACAACTTCATCCACTGCATTTTCGTATTCCACGTCAAATTCTTCAATTTTGGTACTGAACAAAAACACTGTGGTGTCACACTGGCCGCCACTAAAACAGTTTCTGTGGCAGCTAGTACTGTCCCCGTGTGTAGGGCTACTGTCTTGACAGTACAGTGGCCGCCACTTGTGGACGCCAGTACTGGACGCCACTACTGTCCCCGTCTGCAGGGGGCTTTCAATCAATGATTCTATGGTCTGTCGCCCTGTCGGCTGTCCTCGTCCTGTCGAGTGTGAAGCCTGGTTTACACGGGTCGAGTACGGCGGGCGAGTCAGTGTGCGAGTTGCCACTCGCTCTTTAGCTCGCTTGGTGTAGACATGCAGGCGAGTCAAGCAACGGGCGAGTTGATAAAAAAAGGTCAGTTGAGAGCGAGTCGAGTGATTTAGTTGAAAACCGAGTTGCTCGGCCCAGTAGCTACCCCCACCACCACGATTTGCCAGCAAAACATCTGTTTACTGCTCTCAAGTGAGTCCAGCGACCACAGAATAAAAATATTTTTTTTATTTTTGTGGTCGCTGACAATGAGTCGATAGTCGATCACAACGATCAGTGTTTTTGCACCCTCAATACTAAATGGTTCAGTTTGAACAGTTGGCCCTGTGTTGCATTGTCTTGCTGTTCGTAAATCTACTCACTCTTATAAAATTCAGTTTTCAAAATTGTTGTACAACTTAAGATCTACAGTTCTACTGGAACAATTTTATTAATCAGTGGGTTGTTAGAAAGCTCACTCCCTAAAAATGTTTTCTATCAGAAATTCATTGAAAACGGTGTTTTCACATTTTTTTTATTTTGAGGCAACTTTTGGTTGCCTATATATTTTATTTTAAAGAAATGCAGTACCGGTAAAGTAATTTGTAACAAATCTTATTCTTTTAGAATATCACCTTCCAATTTGGTCCATCGTATTTGCAAAAAAAAAACAAAAAAAAAACAAAAAAAAAACTTTTAAGTAACCCCTGAATTTAATGGATCATTCAGTATTAATTCTAATAATCTAATTCAGTGATTTAATCAATTTATAAATTCAGCATTAAACTCTTGAAGTCCCATTTTAAACTCAAACAACATTTAACATGAAAGCTACGGTATACGGAATACCATACAGATAAATTATAAAAATTTCTTCTCTGTACCTACACTGTCGCTGTTCGAAATAGGAATGCGTGTAGACAGTCTAGTCAAGTACCGGGCGAGTTGAACAAATCAACAACTGGGCCTAGTAAAGCACGGGTCACACTAGGCTGGCATCAGCGGCGAATTGAAAGAAGCCGCGACCGTCAGCTTAATGTGACCACAAAATTCGCAGCTGACACTGAGCTGACTCCGCCTGGATTGGTGAGCCGGTGATGCTGGTGCCAGCTGCTGACCACCAGCGGCTGGCGAACAGCCTAGTGTGACCCGTGCTTAACTGGGCCGAATAACTCGTCTGACATACTCGGCCCGTGGGTCGATTCACACACATCAGTTACGACACGTCGCAGTCCAGTCACTCCAGGCGCGTCACAGTTAACAAAAATATTCTTTAATGGATTTCCTGTTTCGCTGTCTACACTCACCCGGCGCGGTTACGACGCAGGTGCGTCAGTCGCTCTGCCGATGTCAGTCAGTCAACTTGAGATTTCTTTCCAACGATACTTTTTGAGTTTTCGGACGCCTGACGGATGCAGACTTTGTTTTGTTGTATGCGTTTGACTTTAAAAAGTAGTGTTTTATAACCAAAATAGTACCTAGTTTTTGTTATTAAATATTTGTGTTTGTATTTTAAGTACTTTTATTAGCAAACAGCACGATGAACGATGAAAAATTAATAGAATGTGTTCGTCAAAATAATGTTTTGTTTGATATGTCTAACCCTAAATATATGGATACGTCTGCGAAAAATGAAATTTGGGAGAAGATTGGTGCTGAAATGAATTTAGATGGTAAGTAATAAGTTGTTTTTAATACATGAAACATTTTATTTATTACATACAAATGAAAGTATTTAAAATAAAAAAGCATAAGAAATTGTTATTAAGTTAGGCTTAAAGCTCTGAGTTGTTCACACTTTAGAATATTTAAAAATAAAACATAGCAAGTAAATGTTAGTGGGGTTAAAGCTATCAGTTTATGCTATTTACATTTGTTAACAGTTCATAAATACTAAAAAATATCACAAGAAGATCTTATTAGGTTTTAAGCACTGACATTTTCACACTTAAGAAAATATTTAAAAAATAAAACACAACAAGCAAATGGTAGTGGGCCTAAAGCTATAAGTTTATGCTATTTACATTTGTTAACAGTTCATAAATACTAAAAAATATCACAAGAAGATGTTATTAGGTTTTAAGCACTGACATTTTCACACTTAAGAATATTTAAAAAATAAAACACAACAAGCAAATGGTAGTGGGCCTAAAGCTATAAGTTTATGCTATTTACATTTGTTAACAGTTCATAAATACTAAAAAATATCACAAGAAGATGTTATTAGGTTTTAAGCACTGACATTTTCACACTTAAGAATATTTAAAAAATAAAACACAACAAGCAAATGGTAGTGGGCCTAAAGCTATAAGTTTATGCTATTTACATTTGTTAACAGTTCATAAATACTAAAAATTATCACAAGAAGATGTTATTAGGCTTTAAGCACTGACATTTTCACACTTAAGAATATTTAAAAAATAAAACATAACAAGCAAATGGTAGTGGGCCTAAAGCTATAAGTTTATGCTATTTACATTTGTTAACAGTTCATAAATACTAAAAATTATCACAAGAAGATGTTATTAGGCTTTAAGCACTGACATTTTCACACTTAAGAATATTTAAAAAATAAAACATAACAAGCAAATGGTAGTGGGCCTAAAGCTATAAGTTTATGCTATTTACATTTGTTAACAGTTCATAAATACTAAAAATTATCACAAGAAGATGTTATTAGGCTTTAAGCACTGACATTTTCACACTTAAGAATATTTAAAAAATAAAACATAACAAGCAAATGGTAGTGGGCCTAAAGCTATAAGTTTATGCTATTTACATTTGTTAACAGTTCATAAATACTAAAAAATATCACAAGAAGATGTTATTAGGTTTTAAGCACTGACATTTTCACACTTAAGAATATTTAAAAAATAAAACACAACAAGCAAATGGTAGTGGGCCTAAAGCTATAAGTTTATGCTATTTACATTTGTTAACAGTTCATAAATACTAAAAATTATCACAAGAAGATGTTATTAGGCTTTAAGCACTGACATTTTCACACTTAAGAATATTTAAAAAATAAAACATAACAAGCAAATGGTAGTGGGCCTAAAGCTATAAGTTTATGCTATTTACATTTGTTAACAGTTCATAAATACTAAAAATTATCACAAGAAGATGTTATTAGGCTTTAAGCACTGACATTTTCACACTTAAGAATATTTAAAAAATAAAACATAACAAGCAAATGGTAGTGGGCCTAAAGCTATAAGTTTATGCTATTTACATTTGTTAACAGTTCATAAATACTAAAAATTATCACAAGAAGATGTTATTAGGCTTTAAGCACTGACATTTTCACACTTAAGAATATTTAAAAAATAAAACATAACAAGCAAATGGTAGTGGGCCTAAAGCTATAAGTTTATGCTATTTACATTTGTTAACAGTTCATAAATACTAAAAATTATCACAAGAAGATGTTATTAGGCTTTAAGCACTGACATTTTCACACTTAAGAATATTTAAAAAATAAAACATAACAAGCAAATGGTAGTGGGCCTAAAGCTATAAGTTTATGCTATTTACATTTGTTAACAGTTCATAAATACTAAAAATTATCACAAGAAGATGTTATTAGGCTTTAAGCACTGACATTTTCACACTTAAGAATATTTAAAAAATAAAACATAACAAGCAAATGGTAGTGGGCCTAAAGCTATAAGTTTATGCTATTTACATTTGTTAACAGTTCATAAATACTAAAAATTATCACAAGAAGATGTTATTAGGCTTTAAGCACTGACATTTTCACACTTAAGAATATTTAAAAAATAAAACATAACAAGCAAATGGTAGTGGGCCTAAAGCTATAAGTTTATGCTATTTACATTTGTTAACAGTTCATAAATACTGAAAGAGGCAACACAAGAAAATGGTATTAGGCTTAAAGCTATGAGTTTATGACACTTGCCTTTTAATTTAAATTTGTTAACAGTTTAGAAGGTCTTAAAATAAAACATAGGCTAACAAGAAACTGTTGGTGGACCTAAAGCTATGTTATGATATTTACATTTTTATTTGCATATTTACATTTGTCTAACAGTAGGCCTATTATAGGTCATTGCATTTCTTTACCGTTGATCAAGATATTATTTTATGGTTTAGGTCACAGTTCTTTGATTTTAAGTTTTGATTTCAGCCTTTTTACAAGTTTTGGGAAAAACGGAGTCTTAATTGCACTGTTTCAGAACTAATTTCCCTTCACTCTCACTCACTGCCATGGAACCATTCCAGCTTCCGAGTTGAAATAACTTTTGAAAGTTTCTCTCACCTCGAAAGCATCCCTCCTCGCATTTCCACCTTGATTTGGCAAGTTGCTGATCGACGAGCTTCCCGTTACTTCAATGTCTTCCACTCTTTCATTGTTGTGTGTGTCCTTATCATATTTTTTAATGAAGTTATGAAGGATGCAGGTTGTCAAAATAATGAAGTCTACATTCTCTGGGGCAGCTTGAATTCGTCTGTTAAAAATACGAAATTTCTGGCACAAAATTCCAAAAGCATTTTCAACTACCCTTCTAGCACGGCTCAATCTGTAATTGAAAATGTATTTTTCATCGTCCAAATCGTTTTTGGGATAAGGCCTCATCAGATAGGTCTTTAAAGGAAATGCCTCGTCCCCCACCATGACGTATGGCACTTCCATGGTCGTCTGCGGCAAATTTTCACTACTTGGGATGCTCAGTTCTTCTCTCTCAACAGCCTTGCAAAAGTTGGTACTGGAGAAAATTCCTCCATCACTGTTTTTGCCGTAAGCACCCACGTCAACCATAACAAAGTTGTACTGGGCGTCTACCAAGGCTAATAGGACCACTGAGAAAGATTTCTTGTAATTGAAATACTGTGACCCAGTATTTGGTGGTGCTTGAATTACAACGTGCTTTCCGTCTATGGATCCTAAACAATTCGGAAAATTCCACCGTGTGTAGAACTCTTTAGCATTACTTCTCCACGTGTCCTCAGTAGGGGTTGGCATCATTTCATTGAGCAAGGTGTCACAAATTACTTTGCAAGTATCCATCACAATGCTGTATACTGTGCTGTGTCCCAAGCGGTAGCTAAATGAAATGGTTCGTAGGGAATCCCCTGTAGCGAGATACCTGAAATCGTAACCTATGTATAAGGTAATGTAACAAGACTACAAGATCGTGCCACTCATCCTACACTCATCTTCATTTATACTTGGCTTAAAATAGCTACTTTGTACTGTCGCCATATAATAATCATTATTATTATTATTGACATCATTATTAATACTTGTATTAAAGTATTAATAATGGTACACACACAGTTAGTTATGAGTATTAATTTTGCTTAAGAGTTTCCATCACACACGGTCTGGAAAAAAGATATGGGACAAAAATGGGATGAAACATTCTTATACATACATACATACATACATAACATATGTATATATTATATATATACATATATAAATAATTGAAAAGTGCTGCACTTCGTAATTTTGCACATAAATATACGCAGTGAAAGACAAAGTGACTCAGAGATTAGAATAATAATAAATATCTCAGTATAATACACTCGATGAGAAAGGATCGCTTATCTGTTCAAAAGAGATAACGCTAATCTGTGACATCCGCAATGACATTGCAGGTGTCACTCGGTTAGTTTTTATCTCTGGAGTGTCAATTTTTAGTTACGGTACGGTATCAAAAAGATTGGGATCTAAAGATAAATATTTTTTTAGAATCATTTACCTTACATAAACATTTTCCTTAATAATTTCTCTAACGGCTAATCGTCGTTTCTAGACTTTTAACAGTCGGATAAATATTATTTTTTATATATTTTTTTTAGGAAATGCTGATTCATACGCATAAATTTAATAACGATTCAATTTAAATTTGGAAAAGGGATTTATTTTTATAGGAAACTGTTTAAATTCAGTCTCGACAAACTGTTTCTAAAGTCAATGACATGTTCTGCCCTTTTTCAGGAGGTGATAAAGACTCTTCTTTAACACCTAAGTAAGTGTATATTAAGCTTAAACTATAACACTAAAGGGTTTCGTTTTATTTCAGGTGGAATGTGCAAAGCCAGGTGGAATAATATTAGAGATACGTACAGAAAATCATTGAAAAGAACTGCAACGAAAAGTGGTCAAGCAGCAAAGAAGATAAAGCTATACAAGTATTCCAGTCAACTGAGCTTCCTACAGAAGTATATGGATGAAAGAGCAACTATTAGTAATATTGAATACCAAAATTGTGATAGGCCTACAGTGGAGGAGCAGCTCGAACTTTTTTACGTAGACATTGACGATCCATGTGCAACTGAAGTCCAGACTGAAGAGACTTTTTTGGAGATAGAGAGTGAAACCCCAAAGGAACAAGAGCCAATACTAACAAACCAAAAAAACAATGCTTCAACTTCAACTTTTCGATTTTCCTCAAAGCCTTGTGCGAAAACCACGAAGAAAACGAACACTCACCCGAATGAAGAAAGCGCGTCTTCCAAATTGATGGACTTTCTTATAAAAGATAAACAAAATCCAAAACCGATGGAACATCCAGTTAACGTTTTTTTAGATGCAATGGCGCCATCTCTAAAAAATCTTTCTCCGTATAATTGGCATATGGCCAAATCAGAAATATTCAGCGTAGTTCAAAAATATGAACTTAAAACAATCACAGCACAACTAGAACCTTATGAAATTTCTGATAGTGCTGCCAGTCTACGCCACCCTGCAACACCTTCACATTCTAATGATTCTGTTTACATAGATATAGATGACACTAATACTGCCGCAACTAAAGAATCGCGTATTCTGAAGAAATACTACCAAAGCTTTACGGATCATGAACCATTAACATGTCGTAGTTTACTTTTTGGTTTAGAATGCTGTTATAATGTTTAGTTTGATTTAATTACAATAGTTATTGTGTTTTAATAAAAATCTGTATTATAATTTTGGTGTTTTTCTAACCTTAAACATACAGCTAGACACTCCTTTGGCGTCACTGATTTTCTCCAGTGTGTGTCTTGTTTTTTTAAATGCATTTCAACTTTACCAAGTAAAATATGAAAGGTTTCTTGTGACATTCTAAAATATTGAAAAAACTTAGTTTCATCGTCCATCAATCCCTTAAATAAGGTGATGAACTCTCCATCAATTTCCCTTCTCTTCCATAAATCATTAACCCAGATCCTTCGTCTTTTGCTCTTATTTTCAATATGCTCTTCGTCTAAGGCTATTGCTATTACAGCTAATTCTTCCGTAGTAAAGTTAGCCATTGAGATAAATTTATCTTATCACATAGGTAATTACATTATAGATAGACATAATATCATTGCTATAGATCAAATGTTTTCTGTACAAACAACTTCGTTCGACCAAAAACTAGTACAGTAGTTCTCAGCTTGCTCTTAGATTATTTAGGCACTTGTTAAATATTTTTAGTGGTGTCCAACATTAGGAATGTTGGTGGATGGATACAGCAGAAAAAAAGGAATAAAATAATACAATTTTTGAAAAATACCAACGATATATACTTTTATAATAGAAATGAAATAATATTAGGCTATACAAAAGTAACATCAAACTGTGAAGTGACTGACTGAACCAACTACGGGCAGTTGACTGACGAAATGCGGATGGGACTGGGACTGAGCGAGACTGTACTGTGACTGGACTGTAACGGAACTGTGACTGGACTGATGTGTGTGAATCGACCTTTCCAGGCTTGACTGTCCGACTGTCGTCTCGTCCGTCAGTTCGTTCGTTCGTTGGGTTTGGGTATTGGCCATTAGGTAAACAAAAACAAACCCTGACTGAACTCAAACCAAAGAACCTTAATTAATTCTGATCAGCAGCGATGTAAATGTTATCTTACTCTAACTCTAACTGGATTAATACATCCTTCTTGGACCAATTAAAAAAAACCAAAATAATTATTTTGGTGTCATTGTACAACAGTAAGTTCGGTTCAACGTAACCCCTAAAATGGAAAATGAACTAGAAGGCCTGTGTAATGGTACGTAGCCTAGACCTATGTTTTGTTTAATGTTAAGTTAAAGAAAAACAGTGTTAAACTAATATCATAATGCAGGCCAATAATACGTAAAATATACCTAGCCCTAGGCCTATAATATACTGTAAATGTCAATAAAATTAAAATCGACACTGATACTTTTAAGTTATACCGACTATAATGGTTGCCTAGGCCTCTGTAGGCCTAAAGAATTGTTTTTTCGAAACAGCAGGTTTACTATAATTTACTTAAGTTGAATTTGAGTTTCTCTAACATCATGCATAAAAGAACAATGTTGCCTAAAACGGGTACTAACTGGCCCGTTGGTACCAACTGGCCCTAAAGCTCTACAATAATCTCCCTGACGGAATCAAGCACCTTGAGGGTAACAAGTTTGCCTCAAATCTTAAGAGCCTCATGAGAGAACAGCCCTACTACAGCTTGAAAGAGTTGTTCAAAGCAAACTTGGATAACTTAACAGTAGACCATTGTCCACGCCATCCGCGTGACACGTTATAACTCCATCTTGGAAGTTCTGTAAATAGTAAATAGCATTTGTAAATATGTATATATATAAATAATTTTGGACGCAGCTTATCCAGTGTGTTACTGGTCTCAGGCTAAGAAGAAGGTAATCAGTTACACTTCCAAATCTGTTGGCACAAACAACCGAATGAGTAATATTGATTATTCGATTGTTTAATTTGTTTGTTTAGTTAGGTTAGGTTAACCTAAAAGATAGGCCTATATCGATCGATATTTTCATTAGGTTGTTTGTGCCAACAGATATGGAAGTGTACCCCGTAAAACTGGAAGGCCCTAGTTATAATGTAGGCCTACTGCATTGGAGAAAGTCAAGCCTAAGTTACAACCAGTAACTTAACTTACCGGTACACTGGAATTTTGGTTTAAGTAGCAGTTATTAAAAGTGTGGCAGACTGAGATATGATCAATGGCTAAGGGTGAAAACATAGTAGTTGTAGAGCGTAGCGGAGAGTGTAGCTTAGCGGTTTTAAAATCATACATGTACGTAACTTGGTGCGCCATAACATAGTGTAACGGGTACGTCTGCTTCTACACGTAAGTCTCTCCGCTACGATATTCCACTGCGATTGCTTTACCTTGAGGGTTTGGTAAAGAGTCAAACCGATTATAAAATGTATTTTAATTTTGTCAGTTCATGAACGCCATCCTGTTTGGAACAAGGAATAATGTAAATTACGATGCATGAAATGGTATTGTGTAATTAATCTTGTCAAAAGGGTGTAACAGTTATCTCATTAAGTGACATAAGTTATTTAATAAACAATTTATCCTGTTTCAGTTTTTTTCCTTAGTTTGTATAGTGAAAAAAAGTTTCTATATTTAAATATATCTATGAAATTTTTATTATTATATAATGTAAAGGCTATGAAGGCCTAGGCAGTTTTTCAATGAATGGTCACTTTGCTGTGTTTTAACTTACTGTTTTAAGTGTTATAAGACGCTTCTTTTATTTAATTTCCGTTTAAACTATTTTCACCATTCATCAATTACTTTACAAAATCAGTACAATTATATTCTCAAGATAGATAGCCTAAATCTAGAGTAATTTGGTATTATCCGGAGGACACTCTTATACAGCCTGCTGCGGCGGTTATGTTAGAATGGGTTATCATAAATGGAAAGAACGTACTTTAATTGACTTACTGTCCAAATTTGACATTATTACAATTAGCGGCCTTTGAGATATGCCTCCCAGAAGGCAGCGATGTTAGCGAGGATTGAGTTGAATGCGTCACCGCCTCTAGCTGCCACATCAGATATAGGCGGTGACAGGTGATGCGCATGCTCACCTCATCTCATCTGATCTGGTGTTTTTTTATTCATAATGAAACGAGGAAAGTCCTACAAACATATTATGATAACCCACCCTAACATAACTGTTGCAGCGCAGTATAAGGGTGGCCTCCGCATCATACCAAAGTACCAAATCAGGTTTAAAGTAGCCTAAATTCAAAAGTACTGTAGGCCTAATTCATCTGTCTTGACTCGCTACATGGGCGATCCACTAGGCGACGTATTGACCCCAAACTGTACTGTACATGTGCAGTGCCGCTATCATCAGGGGTGAAAGAACTCTCAGCTACGCTCTCCGCTACAATTTAGTCTTGCCACTCCACTATGTTTTCACCCTAAGAGGTCTATAGGCTAGTGTTGTTTCTGTGCCGGGAGACAGCCCTTGATTTAGGCCTAAGCCTAGATTTTCCTAGAAGAGGGCAAGAGGGGCAGGTTATTGTTTAGGATCCACTCTTTAGGCCTACCTAGTTGTAAAATGGGGTCTTTTATGGCTAAGCTAGTCAGATTACACATAATTTTCCATTATTCAATTTTAAATGTTTTTTTATTTGCTTTAGTCCCCTGCTATACTCTGCCGCACGCTGTTGCGTTTGACGGTGGTTGCCGCATGTTTTGTGGCGGACAAGGCATAGGTGGTGTTGTCAGGGCTCCCAACTTAGGAATTTCTATTCACCACTAAGTTGTGTTTAGATGTGTTGATTTTATTTTGTTGATACCGTAGGCTAAACTGTCCGATATCGACTTTATAGGCTTACCGGTCAGTAGTCCAAAATTGTGTCTAACATCAAAAAATGTTGTTCAAACCTGGCATGTTTCTTTGCAAATGCAACATTGTGGAGCTTTAAAACGTCAAATGTCAGCTTTACGTTTTTTCTAGTCCACCTGCAAGTAGGCTACAACCGCTGCTGCGCCGTGTCATGATGCTATCAAGTTATTAAGTGTCCTGTGTCGTGTTTAAGTACTGTATGTGTAAATTATTTTGATGTTTTGACGTAAAGCATTTGACCTAAAGATGCTGCACATTTGCAACAAAACATGTCAGCTTTGAACAACATTGTTTGAAGTTAGACGTACAGTTTTGGACTACTGACGGAGGGAGGTAAGCCTATAAATTCATTTATACGTATTACAGGGGCTATCAGAATTAATACTATGTGCGATATTGACATCAGTCGTAGTTGATTCCGTAATTGTGCATACACAAATTTAGTAAACTCATGCACAGGAAAGAAAAACAAAACCACCTACCACCCTGGCAACAGAAAGTGAAATGAGGGAGGCAAGGCAGTACCGAGCTGGGCTGAGTTTTTTTATCAGTTGGCAGCACTTGACAGCACCGCTGTGGCATGCCGCTGAGTATAAAAGGTCCCATATGCACCTAGAGGCTGCACGTTTCTGGGGCTCCTATGTGCGCTGACGTGCATCTAGCCAGCCGCAGCGGCAAGCGGGGTGCCACAGAGTATACAAGGAGCCTTCGTATATATAGTAGAACCTCTTTAGACCGAACCCCTGTAACCCGAACGTCCACTAATCCGAACGCCTCATTGCTGTACTCAATTCACAGTACAGTAGTTCTTCATTGTTTACTGTTTTTATTGATATACACACTATATTTACTTGTAAATTGTAATCTATAGTACTGTTTATTCCCTATATTTACTACTGTATTAAATAAACACTGTATTTTAATTTATAAAGCATTTTTCACTTTTCCCTAGCTTTGTTATGTAAAAACAACAATATGTTCTGTAATCCGAACTATTCAATAATCCGAACTACCCCCGGTCCCAATTAGTTCGGATTAACGAGGTTCTACTGTATGTGGTCACTCCACACAAGCTCAGAGTCCAACCTGGTAACATTTTTGTTAAGTCTAAATATGATTTCTTAAATCTTGTCTAGGTTTAGACCAATTTATTTACCGCAAATAATTTGGATGCTATATTGAAAAATGTGTCTAGGCCTTCACAATTTATAGCCGTAATAAGATCAGTGCTAAGCAAATAAGATGGTATCATTCATGTACCGGTACACTCATCCTACACTTATCTCCATTAAAACCTGGCTTTTAAACTACCTACCTTTGTATGGTCGCCATTTCAATGTAAAGTATTAAAGTACATCTACACATCAAGACAGACATTGTGATAAAGATCATTTATTGAACTATGAATAAAAAAGCCCTTCAGGGCTCTATGCTGAACTGAGTTGGGCCTACAAGAAATATAGCAAATTTGCTACAAATAAAATTGAAGATGTAATGCTCAAACATGTAATATTACTGGTTAAAAATAAAAATGCTTTAAGAATAATATTTTTGCTACAGTTATCTATGGTCCTTGAAACAAAAAAAAATATAAGTTTTTACAAGCTCAGCTTTTTTACCATAAATAATTTAGTCCTAGTATTTTTTTAAAGTGATAAACTCATTAGATCATTGAGCATTGGGATTCTGTGATATGGGTTGATTCAAAAACAATAATTTATAAGTTAGTAGTCTACATTCTAACTTTACGTATATCTTCTTGATAGTTTTAGTTCGTTCTTGAGCACCATCGTTTCATACTAACCGTTGTATCATCATAAGCACCTAATATAGCACTATGAATCTAACATTGTTCTCTAAATTTCAGATGAAGAAAGGCTTGCTGCAGTTGAGCACGAGTTGAAACAAATATGTTCAGAGATACAAAAACTATCAGAGAGAAAGAGTGAATTAATCGCTTTTCAAGAAGAACTGAAAGATCGTATGAATTTAGAGAAAAGCAAATCATTAGCAGACCAAAACTGGGATCGAACCGGTTAGTTTATCTAAAAAGTTAATCTACAGTAAATTCATTAATCCTTTTGTTATTTATCCAACGTTTTTAACACCAATGAATCCTGAATCCATGTCTTATTTTTAATCTAGTCCACTATTATGAGCAGATAAAAAGTTAGTAAATAATGTTCAATATTAAAGTTAACACCAAGAAATAATATTAGTCACTTAAATAAAGAATAGTAAACCTTTTGTGAACAGAATTAAACTGTATATATTTTCAAGTTTGAACTTTTAGGTATACCATTCCATTTGAATATTAAATTTTTATCAGTTTGTTTTGTTTTTCACGTAGATTACCCCTGGCATGACAAACTATTAAAAGCTCTTCGAGATGTGTTCAAGATCAAAGAGTTTCGTGCTCATCAGTTGGCTACAATGAATGCAACAATGTCAAGACAAGATGCCATCCTAATCATGCCAACTGGTGGTGGGAAAAGTCTCACTTACCAGCTAACTGCAGTCGTCGATAAAGGTTGGTAGCAATGTTTCAATCATAAATGGGTGAATAATTGTTAATTGGGGTATTTTTGTCCCCTATATTTGCTGACTTAATCTTTTTAGGTATATTTTAATATTGAGGGTGAAGTATAGGCCGGTTTACAGGATCGGTTTAGGCTATAAGAAAAAGATGTAACATTTTCCAAAAATTAGTTTTTTTTCAATATTGTTGTCAGAAAACAATAACATTTAACAATTTTTATTACAGCCATCATCTAGAGCTAAATTAATTTTCACATGGAAGTGACCTATTGTTTTTCACAGGGTTCACTCTGGTCGTATCTCCTCTCCTATCTCTAATGGAGGACCAGGTGCTTGCTCTCCGACGTCTCAACATTGATGCTGGAATGTTTCACTCACAGTCTGACAAGACGGAAACCAACCGGCTGATGCAGGTAAGTTATGATAAAATACTCAAAGAAAAAATACCGCCTCAAGCAGAACACCAGCTGATTCGGCAGTAGTATAGACATACACAAGGAATTGTGATGGTAGAAAGCATCCCTAAAATCCTAAATATATTTTTTAAGAGTAGTTGTAAATTCCTGCACAAAGATTTAGAGATATTTTGGCTCTTCTAAAAAATTTTTAAAAAATCTGCTTTGGGAAATTGAAATTAACCCTACATCTTAAGGTTCGTTACCTTACCTTACCTATTAGGCCACTCAAACCTCAGAAGGTTTTTGGCCTCGCCAACTATGCCTCGCCATCTCTCTCTATCTTGCATCCATTGAGCCTCTGCCCCCAATCTTCTCAAGTCCTTTTCCACTTGGTCCTTCCAGCGAAATCGTGGTCGTCCCAAGGGCCGCTTTCCTCTTGGTAGTCCTTTATTTATCACTTTAACTGTTGCATTTCGTTCTCTTCTTGCGATATGGCCTGCCCACCTGAGTCTTCTGCTTTTGATTTGGGCTATTATGTCCGGGTCTCTGTATAGCTCACGAATCTCTTTATTAGTGAGTATTCTCCATATTCCATCTTCATTTATGGGATCATAAATGCATCTTAAAATTTTGTTTTCAAACACCATCAGCTTTTTTTCAGCTTGGTTTTACATTGCCCATACTTTTGACCCATACAATGATACAGGTTGTATGGTGGTTTTATAGACCCATAAAATCTAACTTAAGGTTAGTTAGATGAATCTAAAACCGGCAAAAGAACTAGAGAAAGTTGCGATGAAACCTCAATAACAAGACCCTCAATAGCAAATCACCCATGGCAAGTGTCGTCAAATGCCTTCGATTGTGTACTACCCCCAATCAGCAGGCCTACTACTTATCACAATGTAATTGCCGACCTCTATTAGAATTCCACCTTGATAGCAAGTCATATTTATAATCCCTATGAGAGACTTATTAGGTTCTACCATTAGACTTCCCATCTATAGGCCTATGGACCAGCTGTAGCAAATTTTGTATTAATAAGAATGTAGGTAGTTGTGTGAGCCAGTCACAGAATGCGCTAGTGTCTAAAATTCTATTTTATAGGTTTTTTTTTGTTGCTGACCAGGTTGATGGGTCATAACAGTTGCCATAACTCATCATAAGTCATTCCCTGTGTTTGACTTGGTTAAAAAGATTGTGTATTCGGCAGAATTTAGTAATTTAGATCAGCGCAATCTGTAGGTGGCTCACATCAACTACAACGGTTTTAAAAAAAAAGCTGGCTAGAAATTTAACATGGGGATGGAATGTCTAGTTGTATTGATAGTCTTAAGCTATCAGCTACTGTAGCCGTTACTAAGCGAGAATAACACTGATGACTTGTGTGGCTTTATTAATCCTTTCACTTTGTATTAAGGTAAAAGAAGACTTGTGTCTCTAGGAATATATCAAAAGTCTCCATTCCATCACCATTGGATGTATTTGCTTATAAAAATTTACAATTCACAAGACGGTAGCTATGTTACACATACACCAGCATAAGTGTTGAAAAATGTATTAATCCTAATAGTACAGACATGTGTGATAATGAAGAAATTATTCAATCCCTGTGTCAAGGTGAAAATAATGATTTTGATAATACTGTAAATTAAGTTTTGGCGGATCATTTTTAGGCAATGACAGACTCCAAATCGGCCCTGAAGTTGATATATGCTACACCAGAAAAGCTAGCCAAGAGCAAACGCTTCATGAGCAAGCTTCAGAAGGCTTACGAAGCGGGTAGATTGGCGAGAATAGCCATTGACGAGGTACATTGCTGCTCTCAGTGGGGACATGACTTTAGGCCAGGTGAGCGTACTTTGGTTAGGTACGTCGCCAAAACAAACAATGCAAATCTAATAGACTATTAGGGTAGCCCAGCAGAAAACCTAACCTTACGGCGCTTACCAACATCTTTAACCGATTTTTCCAAAAAGATACTTTTAGTGTACAAACAAGGAATCTTTTTAGACAATAGTTTAGAAATGGTTACTTTTACATTCAAACAGGGATACAATAATTTCTTGATTAGCACCCATGTTATTGCTGTCAGGGCCGTGTTAAGGGTCAGTAGAGCCCTGAGCAAACCCAAAAGCAGCGCCCTCTTTTTCCTAGAGCGGGTGAGCGGTGGTTGGGGAGCATTCAGCAGGCTTCTCTGGGCATATACCCAGTCTGCCTGTTTATAATAGCGGGCCTGGGTGCTGTTTTAGGAATATAATAAAAAAATACACCTTTCAACACTTCTGCCAGTGAAAGTGTAATATATCTACCGGTACCATCTTGTCATTGTAAGTACAGTATTTATGTATAAATATAAATATATCGAATAGTGATGGAAGGCATAACTTATTATATTATATTACAATAATAACAAATTGTTCCGGACTTGGGTGCCGGAGGACATACACAACATAAAATGAGTTTATGGGTGAATCTCACTGAATAATATAATATCAACAAAATAAAATTTTTTAAATAATTTTTGTTTTTCCACTTTATTACTTACCTGCACCAATTGTTATTTCATCAGGAACAATGTTTGATAAGCAGCAGAGCTGAATTTCACTTATTTCTAGATTTTTTATGTGTTTTTAGGTGAAGAGACGCTTAATAAAGTCCAGTCGTTCCCGTAACATAATGTTTAAATATAAAGTAATACACAATAAATTAGACTCAGTGGGATCTTAAATCCAAATCTAAATGTAATAGACAGTTTAACTAAAGTAAAAAAAAAATATATTTAATACATTTAAAGTAATATATTAACAGTCAAACTCAACCTAACCTAAAATTGTTGGTTTGACAAACATAACTTTCATATTAAATGTTAAGCGGTTCGAAGTTATATGAAACTTATATCAAGGAGCGAACTCTGAAATATTGGGAACAATAAAATTCCATAAAGAATAATTTATGATGAAAAAATAGCGATTTATCTCTGATCTTGTGAGCGGGAACGACTGGAACTTGCAAGGAACGACTGGCCGAGATGAGGAACGACTGGCGCTGCTAGACTGTGAACGATTAACGCAGACTCTGTTATAGGCCTACTACACCTGCAACTAAATTTATTCTATGGGTAGAGAATAATAATAACAAATTCTGAGAATACGAAAACATTGTATTGACTATAGAATGTGTTATTGACATTTTGGATTACAAAACATTGGATTGTTTTCACTAGCGTGATAACTACTCATTTTGAAAATTAAGAATACAAATAACTATTCAAATTGTAATACAATAGTCATTGGACATCTAATATTAACATAACATATTATGAATAAAACAAATTATTGTATTTTGGTAAATATGCAATACAATGTTATATAGTGTGTCTGTTTGTGAAATTAGTCTTCAAGGAACTGGATACCTTTACAAATAGTCCTTGTATATAAATAATTACACAAGCTTTTGTTTTCAGTTTTTGGTTTCTTTGGTAATTATTGCACCTATGTGTTACTACATAGAAAAACAAAAAAAAAAAAACGATTAAATATATACATGAGGTACTCGGTACAAAACTTTTGTTACTAAATAGAAAAACAAAACAAATAACGATTAAATATATACATGAGGTAGGCCTACTCGGTACAAAACTTACATCACAAACATTGATGTAACGGTACTTAAGGTTCAAAATAAATGAAAATAGAAGCTAAAGCAGCAAAGTTAAATACTTAACAAGTTCTTGACACATTTTTTTTCATTTTTAAAACAGAACAAACAGGAATGTGTCACAAATGGTGCTGCGCTAGAATTCATAAAATTCGCGGATTCCCTTCATTACAATGTTTGGTGGAGGTAATATGGCCTTAATCTGAGTTAAGTGCACTGAGTAACGATCTGTTTCGTAAATCACAAACAAATCACGGCCATCATGAACTTTTTTCATAAACAAAACGTCAATTTCCTGGTTACTTAATTTACTCTGGCACACGCCAATATACAGTTTGGTATCAGAACATTTTTTACCTTTTTCAATCATGTATTCAACAACTACATGAACACCCGATGTAAGTTCACTTTCAACGACTGGTTTGGTAGCCATGCCTGGATAAATTGACTTCAAGTCCTTCACATCATGATGAGCTGATGATGTAGTCGGCTGTTGGTCGTCATCATCGTCTGATGAAGTGAAAACCTCTTCAACAAGTAATTTTCTTTTCTTCTCAGCAATAACCGGCCTTTGTTTATTGCCCGTGTCAATGTCAAAAGTAATTTTGCTGAAGTGGTAGTGACTACAAGCAGCATCAAGAGGACATTCGAAACAGGATAAAGTACGAGTGAACATGGGACTTCCCTTTGTCAAAGTCACTTGGTGAACTCTCATTACACCTTTTATTTCTGGTGGTTTCAAGTCTGCTACCACAGATTTTAGCCTTTCTACATCTGCAGAAGGTACCTCAAAAAGAGTGACGTTTGTGTGTGTTTTTTTAAGAGCTTCGACAAAATCATGCGCACACGTTATGTCCACTCCGTGCAGAACATTTTGGTCTGCTCCTCTCTTTAAGGTCCCCCCCACGCCATCCATTGGACCCTTACCATGGCCCGCTTCAGTAAAGTTCCAAGATAGGTTTTTAAGATTTGGGAAGTACTGGGGCATCATGGTCTTAAACAGGAAGAGGTTAAATCTGTTTCTGTACTGGCTTGTTGGGCTGTCAGAAAAGAAGTGGACAGTGTCAACGTTAGGGAACTCGCTGGAAGCTTTTTCTAGTACAGGCTTCATGTGAGCCCAAACTGCATGTGCCTGATGATCAACATTATCAGACACAGTAGCGAAGCACTCGGTTTTAATTTTCCCGCCTACTGAGGATAACATAACACCAGTGTTCAAGCTCAACTGTTTTTTTGACGCGCCAAAGTGAACAGATTGGACTTCTTTGTCGTATTTACAAACATAGTTTTCAGAAAAGTCGATCCTAAAAATCAACTCTCCCGATTTTAGGGTCGTCGTTTTGCCTTTAACAGCAGCTGCTTGGTGATATTGATAGAACACATGTTTTTTAAAAGTGTCAAGTTCCTGTCTTAATATATTCTTCATTTCGGAAACTTTTTTCCTCTGAATAGATTTCACAGTTTTTTTTATGGTTTTCTTTTTCAGCTTTATGATTCTTTCCTCATGAACATTTAACCATTTTGCGTATTTAACGGTAAAATCATCTTCATAATGAAATTCTACTTCATTTTTGTTACATTTTTCACATCGGCCAAGCATGCAGCTTTCATTATCTATAGAACATACTAAAGATGCTAACAACTCTTTAGATGTTCGTGTTTTAATGGCTTTGACATTTCTCAGGGCACTTACCAGTAAATCCATATTAGAATGCTTGATACAAGCGCACGTGTCCCTATCGGCCATTTTAGGAAAGTTTACCCAAAATGGTCGTGAGCGATAAAACGTTGTGCGGGAAACTTTAATGTTGGTTTCCTTCATGAATTTTTTGTGTAGTGTGTCAACGGTCTCAAGAAGAACTCGCCGCTGTTTGACAATATGACCTTTCTTCACCCTGTCTTTTTTTCCAGGGCACATCCTGGAGTGTCTGTCGTCTTCAAAAAAGTTTGCGATCGTGTCAGACAGTTTGTAACGGATCTTTCTAGGGGGGGGTCTTGTGTTTTCAAATGACGTACTTGGGAGAGGATCTGAAAGTCTTTTGTTTTCTGCGTAGGGTACCAAATTCTTAAAATACTTCTGAACGCGGTATTTTTTAAACACCTTGTTACCAATCACTTTGTGTAAAATCTGGTTTTTATTTTTTGTTTTTGCTACTTGTTTCACTTGTGTTTCTATCTGTTTTTTAAGAGTAAGACCTAAAAATAATTGTTTTTTGATATGAGGGGATACTTTTTCCCTCCCTACGATCTCTTTCAGCTCTTTTCTCGGCGAGGGAGAGCCCGTCGCCACAGAAGATTTCTTTTTCTTTCTATGCAATCGTTTTTTATACTTCGCGATTTTACGCTCCAATTCTTTGATTTTTTCAGTTTGTTTTTTAACGACGCGGTAGACTTTTGCCTTTTCTCTTCTGACTTGTTTGCGTCCCCTTTTCTTCTGCGCTGACTCCTCTTCAACACTATTCGTTGGGGTATCTTGAAGCATTTCTTCATTTTCTCTCTTCTTCTTTTGCTCTTGTCGCCTCTTCCGCCAGTACTTCCTCATTTGCCGCTGCTCCCTAGGGTTCATGTCCCCTATTCTTTTGACTTTCTTTTCCTCCCTCAATCTCGCCATCCTCTCGCGGTCATATTTTCTTTTAGCTTCTTTCTGCTCTTCGGTTTTTTTCTCTTTCTGCCTTCTTTTGCTGGCTCTCCATAGCTCCCTCTGCCTCTCAGAGCTTTCCTTTGAAGTTCTGGCCATTTTCCATTCAAGTCCCCCTGAAAAAACAACTTTTGAAGTGACCGCCTAAAACGCGTATAAGTATTAGCGTATTAGTATAAAAAGCCTAAAATTACTACAAAACATTAAGTTTACTAGAGTTGTGAAAAAAAAATTACAGTTTGTGTCCTGAAAAGTTTTATTTTCCTTATTATTAGGAGAAATAAGCAATTCTGTTCGTTAAAATAACAATAATAATTTTGCGTCCAAAATTTAAAAAAAATACTATCAAAGTATATTTTAATGTTTAACAATGTAATCTATTGTATAGAGGTTCATCAAGTATTGACTAATGCATTTATTCAAGCAAAGGAAATATGAAATTTAATGGGATCAAATACGATAATAGTTCCCAGTCCAGTCGTTCCCGCACCAGGTCCAGTCGTTCCTTATAGCCGGTCGTTCAATCAGGAACGACTGGCGCGGGAACGACTGGCGGTTTTCGTACATAACCTTGTTTTGCCGCCAAACGCTTCAAGTAGGGAGCATAAGAATTTGAGGTTATGTCTTGGACCGGCATTTACTGTTACGCAACAGAGTTCTTCTTTATTCCTAGCATCGAAGTTTATAATAATGTGAAGGAACGACTGGATGCGTAATTAAGGTACTGTATGATTCTTACCTGTTTATTTATTAATTTGCTGGAAACCGTTGCTCACTTGTACTTCAAATCACTCTCCAAATCAACTTACAACTTAGTACGACTGTCGCCAACCTCAGACGCGGGAAATTCTCCCGCGTTTTTTTTTATAACCGTTCCCATTTTAGTCGTCTTTGGTATACCGTCCTCCAAGGACTGTCACAATTACAACAAAAATATGATATTTTGTTGTTTGATCTCTTTGAACTGTCAATTATCTAGAACAGCAGACCGTATTGTCTTCTACAACTGTTTAATTCGTTCAACTGGAGCAGTGTTGAATTGTTTGTTTATACTTTAACATTGTGAGGAGCAGTAAATGACAAGGAACGACTGGTGTTTTACTGTTGAATAAGGCATTTTACATAAAATTAAATAATTATTGTCGTCTTAAACTATGTTTAATTCAAAGGCAGGTGGGGTTAGAAATAAAACAATACACTATAGTTAAAAATTATTTTTATTTTTTTTATTTTGGCAAGAAGGACTTAAATTTTATCATTCAGTGAGATTTACCCTTATAGGATTTTTGTCTGGATGGGACTGAATGGGAAAGAGTCCAAACTGGCACAAGAGACACAACACTTTACACTATCTAGGTTTTTATATTTTGGGTGTATACACAAAACATTAGACTATTTCACTGTCACTGACAGCATTTTCAACTGAGGAAGAGAGAGTTTTCTTCAGGTACAATATGGTGGCCAGAGGCAATATGAGTTTTGAAAGTCCCTTTTGGTATAACTTTAAGACTGGACCACTTTCCCTGAAAGCGTAATTCAGTACACACTGGACATTGTCTCTGGTAAAAAAATGCCCCTGGCGTCGAAACTAAGAGAAAAAATAAAAAAAATCTGGAAGCTGCTGGTTTAATTACAAGCGAGATCGTTTCTGGACCCTGATGTCATTGCTGGGCTATGAATTTATTATGCTAACGATAAAAAAATTTTGGTTTGGACCGTTCTTGTACAAAATCATTAAAAATGCTAATGGCGTTGAAACACAAATATGACAATCAATTTGATTTTCTCGCATACCAAGGTAATAGGGTTAAGCTAACATATTAGGTGTGTTAATAGGATTGTATTTTGTATAAAAAAATAAAAAAATACAAAACATTTTGTAAGTAATATTCCCATAGAAAGAAGAGACAAAAATAAATGAATAAGTAAGTAATATTTTCACAATATGTTTGTTTATATTGCAGACTACAAGTTCCTGGGAGTGTTAAAGTCGATGTTCCCAGATGTTCCTATTCTGGGGCTGACAGCCACTGCTACATCCAAGGTTACGCTGGATGTCCAGAAGATGTTGGGCATCCAGGGATGTATTGTGTTCAAAGCCTCCTTCAATCGGCCCAACTTGTACTACGAGGTGACAGTCAACGCTGACCTAAATTTAGTCATATTAATTAGTGATGGTCCGGGGGAGCGAGCTGGTCTAGTGGTTAGAGCGCGGGACTTGGGTCCCTGATGTCCCGGGTTCAAATCCTGCCAAATCACTTGTGAATTTGATCTAAGTGATAATGCCGCAACCCCTAGGTCTAGTAATGTGAAAAACAATCCCTGGCTCGTGTATAGCGTCCTAGGACAAAAAATACAAAACAAAGCAAAAATTATTGATGGTCAAAAGAAACTTAGAATAACTGTATATTATTGTATTGTGTCTTTTCCTCCATTCTCCTTCTTCAAAATTGGCAAGAATTATTTTTTAATATGAAAAAATTGTTTCTATCTTTTTATTTAATTTCCATGTTTCTGCCCCGTAAAGAAATATTAGACTAATCGTGGTTTTGTATATTCTTATTTTGGTTTTATGTGACAGTAATTTTAAAGATAAGAGTTTGTTGCATAAATAAAAATCCGTTAGTAGCCTAAGGTTAAGGCCAGATTTCACCAAACACTTAAACCGCCATTAAGCCTTGCTCTAACTGCAGTTAGCTCTTAACTGACAAATTCGGATTTCACCACTGTCGTTAGATAATTAACTGCCCAATTTTGACCGGTTAACTTCTTTAATCTTTCGTCAAGTAAATATCAGCTGGCTTTAAGTTTTAAGTTTATATGGAAAGGTCAAATTCTAGAAGAGCATACAATAGGAATTAGCTTTTGAAAGTGATAGTGATGAATAGTTGCCTATGTTGTTCGCCAAACTAGGTGTGTAAGAGAAAAGCTTGATGATTTAACTAAGGCGAAACTAATTTTATTACTAGATATGAATTATCAAAACGTTTTGCCCTTTTCTTTAGGTCATCTCACAAGGTTTTTAGTAAAGATGTATCTCTAGGTATGTGATCAGCCACTCTTTTTTCCCGGCTGAAAAAGTGTTTTTCTACCTACATTATTGAACTACTTTTTTCTTTGTTCGAAAAAATAGGCTGCCTTTTCCTTTTCCCGGTTTTGAGTAACCCTAACCCTACTGTCTGTCAAACAATTAATTTAGTTCGGTCAGAAGTAAAAAGGACAATAACTAAACCTAAATTGTCATTATTCTGCTAGTATTTATAGAAAATCATCATTTTTATGGTATCTTTATTATATCTTGTTCTTGTGTAACTCTTTTTGCCTCAGGTTTTCTCACTATTTCAAATGTACAATACAAAGTTAGATTTTTGAGTCTTGACTCAACAGCAAAACTCAATCCTCTGTTCCTCAATTAAAAATGTTTCATCAACATTACTCTCCCTTTATTTACTCATATTAATTGTTTAGCTATTTATACTTGTTTTCTGTTGTTCTTTCGTTCTATTGTTGCTCAGAATCTATTGCATACATGTAATCTTGCTGTCTCCAGTTTTGTTTTCACTACCTCATAAACACCTATTTATTTTCTAGGTTATGTTTACTTATTGCTCCCATAACAGCCCGGAATATGACAGTTTACTGCCACCGCCACCTGGATTTTACTCTAAACTCTCGTTTATAAAACCAGCATTAGTATTGACAGGTTTTCGTTCGTAAAACCAGATTTCCTTAACTGTGGTTTAAATCATCAGTTAGTTTTAACCAAAGATTAACTAAACCATTGTTAGCGTGAATTTGGTGAAATCAGGCCTTAGTCTCTGTTCCTTTAGTTTTTTTTTCTAGAAATAACAACACCTGAGTATTTAAAAGAGTCTACTTTTTCAAATTTATGGTCATCTACCTGAACTATATTATGTCCATGACACTGTCTATGTACAAAGTATACATATGACGGAAAAATACATATGAACGGGAAAAGACTAGTTTTAATATTTTAATAAGAAAATAATGTTTTGGCTAGACTGATTTAGGAACAGGCCATACATAGTCAGTTTAGTAGCCACCATTCACTCCTTCTGAAGAAGCCCCTTCGTAAAGGTGGAATATTAAATTAATTGTGTTGTGAACCTTTTACATATGGTTAAGCTATTGTCAACTGACAGGAACTCTCTACTTAGGAAAGTTAGTTGTGTATCCAACTTCCTTCTTCCTCTATAATGAAACTAATGACTCTTTATGATTCAGGTGCGGCCAAAACCGAGTTCGATGAATGAATGTGTAGACGAGTTGGCGGACTTACTGAAACACAGGTTTACCAACCAATCAGGTATTATCTACACAACATCCATCAAGGACTGTGAAGAACTAAGGGAGCAGCTAAGGTAAGGTTTAGGAGTTTTTTTGTTGTAGGGATAGTTTAGTTGTAGGCTATGTACATAAAAAAAAATATATATATATCAATAGCCTATTCAAGATATTGCATTTTCCTCTCTATCTATAAAAAAAAAACAAAAAAAACTCTTTATTACATAGCTTGATGGCTTTACTACAGTCTCCACTATTCCTTCAAAGGAATTTACAGTGTTTCAAAATTTATAGATTGAACAGCACATTTAAAATCATAAATTATTTATCACTTTCTGAATATTTAAAAATTTAATAATAAGTTAATTGTGTTTTGGTTTGAGTAAAAGTAGTTGTTTTTATGTACCTGTTTCACAAGCTCCCTTGGATTTTAGAATGTTTTGTGGTAGTAAGGAGTATAGTAGGTATTTCATTAAATTGTTCACCATTGTTTGTAGGTTACTTTCAAAACACAGTGGCGTAACAGCCAGCCCCACAGACCCCGCGGTGCGGGGGGGCACGCGAAGTTTAGGGGCCTGTGAGGTTGAGATACCCTTTTCTCCTAAAACCGTCTGTAAAACCGATCCTTATGTTCACGGATGTTTTTCTCTCCTAACCATTTTTTTAATACACATTGTGTTGGTAGATACTTTTATCCTGCCAAATCTACTGATGTTTTATCTTTTAATTAACAAAATTGTTAATGAAACACCACCGCTCACCGCAATCACCCGACTATGTGTATTGTCCGTGTGGTTTTGTTGCTTCAGGCTAGGAGCTGTGGTGTGTGGACCTGGGCGACACACTCGGAGCCAGCCCCTCCCCCTCCACCACTACCCGCTCACTTGTAACTCAGGCTGACCGTAGGTCACCTGATTTTGATAGAGATCCATGCAGGTGACTCATCAGCGGTGCCTTTCGTGACAGGCTTTGTTTGGTTCTGTCTCTACTGTAGTCTGGGCCATTGCGTATATTGACAACAATTTAATTTATGACCTGAATAAGACTCATAAGAGTCAAAACAGGTAGTCCAGATAAAGTTACAAGAATCGCTCGGCATTCAGTATTGAATTATTTAAAGTAGAATCTGTCAATAGTTTCTGAGATTAGCAACATGGAACTACATACTAATGTTGATTGACTTTATAACTATTTTGTACACAGAAAGCGAGATCTGCGTGTGAGCGGGTACCACGCCAACCTGGACGCAGCTCTGCGCAGTAAAGTTCACCAGAAGTGGCTGACGGGGGAGTACCAAGCAGTGGTCGCTACAATTGCCTTCGGACTAGGCATTGATAAACCTGATGTTAGATTTGTTATACACCATGCACTCAGCAAGTCCATGGAAAACTTCTATCAGGTCAATAAACAATTATTTATCTACGCAAATAAAGTTTGTAAAATTGTATAATCATTCGCACTTACAAATGCTCTAGACATGATGCTTCCACCATTGAATTTTCTTCTTATTGCTCTGAAACAAACATTGTCAATAGCCTGCCAAGTGCCATATTATACAACTTGAAAACCAACTTCAAGGTCCTGCTGCAAAAATGCTATAAAGAATTAGGGATCTTTTCTATCCATTGATTTGTTGTAATAGCTGTTACCTTTCTGTTACACAGTAAACTTATAAAACTATTAACATTTATAGTTGGCTTTTAAGAAGTTGCTGTAAACATATCTAGATGTATATTGCTTTAGTTATTGTTGTTTCCAACATTCATATAGACCTACAAGTGCATTTTGTTAATAATTAATTTTAGTATTAAGATAAAGGAATTATTGATTGATTTAATGTTTAGCACTTTTCACATTTCACAATTTTACATGGGGGGGGGGGGGGGCTGTGGAAGAGGCTGTGGAATCTGCAACTAAAAAACTGTTTGTTACCCTCCAAAAAAATAGATGATTTAAAATCCCTCAAAAAGGTTTACCGAGTAATAGGCCTATACATTCATGACACAATTTTAGGATACTATCATTTCAAAAATCTATTCTACAGCTCAATTCATGGGTTTGAAATCTTTAACACTATTCTGACGTGAAACAAATTCTTCTTTTGGCTCAAACTTAAGTTATTTTAAAAACTTGTTGACTGTGTTTTTGTGAGGTGTTTGGTTCGGATTAGGGTCACCTAGCCTAAACTTACCTCCGTTCGCTAGGACAGCTTGAGAAGTCCAGGGCTCTCACGCTAACTGTCTCCGTCGCTTGCTACTGCTTTTCGGCCTTCGTAAGATGCCATTGTGTCGATCTACCAGTACACGAAGTATACCAATGTGTACGTCGCCACATCGACGCACCGAACACTAATTACTACTATGTCGTACGACAACGCGGTGTCAGCACAGCGACGGACTGACAAAGACCAATTTGGTTCTAAATACGATGAATATAATCGTTCGTGAATATAAATAACAAAAAAATACCACTAACACAATTTGACCATTACATTGTATTCCAGGAGAGTGGACGAGCTGGTCGGGATGGCAAGCCTGCCGAGTGTATCTTGTTCTACAGGTTGGCAGACGTGTTTAGGCTCAGCACAATGGTCTTTACACAACAGACTGGGCTGCAATGTCTCTACGGAATGGTGGAATACTGTTTGGACTTTTACAGGTGAACATTGGTAGCAAACTTAATGAGGATGTTGAAGCGATTTGATTAAATCTTTTTACAGTGGAACCTCAGTTTCGAATAACCCCAAGCTTGCTTAAAACCTGTTTTTCTTCTTTAAAATTTGAATTGAAAAGAAGGGAGCATTAGTTTTGTAAAAAAATCATTTTACATTTGTTTTACTAATTTAATGAACACTAATGCCTAATATTTGTAGATCAATCGTATAATTACAGCAGTTATACCGCCTTTACCTATCAATCTCTATCACTACAACTGGATCGCTCGCTCTGTGCTGGGTTTTTGGTGACCCACTTGGCTCTCCTAACTTATTGAACTGTCACTCTCTACACTTTACCTCTTAAGGTATTACCATGCTCACACTCAAAAAAGACGCTACATCTTTGACACAGGAGCTTGATTTTCAATTATTTTACACATCTGTAATCTGCATGAAACTGCGGCAATTGATTTGATATCAAAATAATTTGTAAACTATACTTGACACTGAATTAAATAATACCGTACCAATATCTCCCTACTTTCATGATGAGTGCAATGATGAACCCTTTATTTCAATCGGAATCGAGTAAGTATTGATAAAGCTGAATCAATTTTTAAATGATAACATGATGGTATGTAGTGTATGGTTGCAGCGGTGCTGTTGATACGAGCCTAGTTCTAATTTTGAGTTGTATCGTGGTGTCCGTCACCGCACGTGTTATGGCCAGACCCGCATTTGTTTATGGTAATAAATTGTATCACAAAGATTGTGTGTATTGCCGACGAAAATGTGATTTCAAGAAGCGAGAGGGTTTACAATAAAACTGTTGTATCTAAACTAGTTCCCCAAGACTTAATTAGGATTGAAGACATAAGATATGTAAACCTGTATAGTAAGTTCTGAGTATTTCAGTTCACTATCCAGTTGTTTTATAGAAATCTATTCCTAACCCTAAATCACATCTCTATTCATTCACTTCACTTTCTTTTCTAAATCACACTACAATGCACTACAATGTTTTTATGCCAGATGTTTTTGGTTATTGTCATTTTGGTACAAGTATTTCAATTGATGGCAAATAGTCTACTGCATATCCAAAGTAGCACATTGTTGTGTTTATATGCAAGTAGCCTATATATTTTTTTAAATTCAAGGAGTATAAAAAATTTAAAAAAATATTGTTGGAAATTGAAATTGGAATTAAATGAATCTACTTTGAGGAATCATATTTTTGTGATATAATCAAGTTTTACCGTTATTCTTGTTAAAAATTGAACAGCCTTGACATGCTTAAATTTTAATTATAAAAAAATGTATTTACTTAAGGGTGTAACATAAACATAGAGCATAAGGGCCTAGGTTTTTAAATTTTTTTGAGAGGATAGCAGGCTTGCCTGAATGGGAAAGAGTCCAAACTGGCACAGGAAACGGAAAACTTAACACTATATACACAAAACATTAGAGATTAGAATATTCTAATGTTTTGTGTATATAGTGTAAAGTCCCTTAGTTTACATATGTGTCAAAATTATTTTTTAACATAAATGACATTGCGGTATTTATAAATTATTTACAAAACACATTAATAAAACGATTATTTCTGCCAAATTCACTCACAGGTTGTAATTAGCTTCTTACTCATTATTTGCAGATGCAGACGACAAATGATTGCTTCCCATTTTGACGAGGTGTGGGATCGTGCGGATTGTAACCAAATGTGCGACCATTGTCGTGCCCCGCGTGAGCCAAAAAAAGTGGACGTTACCAAACACTGTCGCACCATCTACAAGCTTCTAGCACAAGCAGCAGCGTCCGACACTAAAATGACTGGTAAGTGGATTTACGGTTTTGACATTTCGATAAATTTACGTGTCTTTGGATAGGGTTATTATTTTCCTTACTCTGCATGGAAATCAATACATTTACAGACCTGTAAACAGTAGGAGTTGTAGCCTATATATCAAGTCCACCAACACGTATACTGCATTATCGACTTGCTGTTTCAACAAAAAATAGCTCAGTTTCGCTTTATTGATTCCAGCTCGCTAAATCTGAACTGATTTTGCTGTTAGCGTTTCTATTATACGACTAACATCCGGTAAAAAAATTACGTAACCTAAAAAAGATAACATAATTTAAATTTCATTTTATAGACTACCTAAAATGTTAATCTGTGTTTTATGATAATCAAATTAATGCTAGTAAGAAAAATCTTCTTTGTATTACGAGCACAAATAGTTATTGCCGCTCTCTTAATGTATGGCCGCACTCAGCAAAAGCTCTCTGAGCCATGGGAATACTTTTTGATTTCAACTTCTGAAAAGAAGCTGAATAAACTGAGGACCGATAAAACGGAGACCAAATATCACACTTGGCCACTACTGTATGCATAGATAAATCTTTGGATGTTTTAACATGAAATCTCTCCTTATAGCTCAGAAGATCCTAGATGCCTGGTATGGTAAAGGTCCGCCTGCACTCAAGTTGTCAGGCGTCTCGGCTCCTACATTCTCACGAGACACGGCCGAGAACATTCTCGCCCATCTTCTCATTAACGGTTATCTTAAGGAGGATTTCCACTTCACTCCCTACTCTACCATCAGTTATATCAGGAGAGGTGGGTCACAAAGAGAGTTTGGGAGCAAAATTACTCATAACAAATTTCAAGATTTAGTTTGAAAAATTGATTTTAGTTTCATAAAATTCTGGAATCTCTTTTCTAATTTTCTAAATATCTTGGGTAAATTATAAATTGGAATTTACATTTTGTACATTTTATCTGAGGAACAGTCGTAAACCTGTACATCTTATCTTTTCTTGGGGCATCTGGGTCCGGGAATCGATTCTGCTTTGCACTATAACCACTCAGGTACCCAGACAAATTAGTCATCACTATTGATATTGTTTGGAACTTTTTCTTCCTACTATCTTTGGATAAAGTTGGATTCTTGGTTTATTTGTGCCAAACCCCTGTCAGAGCTACCCAATTCAAGTATATTTTGATATTAATGACTTGACATAACTTTTGTGCTAAATTTTTTTGTAAGTACCAAAGAAGTCAACATTCTTCAGATTACTTTATTGCCAAACTTTTCCATATAAACTGAATGAGCAGAGAAAATTCTTTAGAAAAAGGTTACTTTAAATTCAGGAAAGATTTATGGAATTAAGCATCATACTACTTTAAGTCGTGACTTTATGTGTTTTAATCAATTACTTTTGGGAAATACCTAATGATTTTACTGTACTTTCCAGGCCAGTTGTCCCATAAAGTGGATGAACCTTCTTACGTAATCTCCATGACAATCAAAGGTAAAAGTGTGGATGAGAAATCCTGCGAGGGTAACAAATCTGAAAATAAATCTTCCTGTCCAAAACCTGCCAACAATGCAAAGAGAAAAAGATCCGAGACTGAAAAAGAAGGAAAATCTCATAAAGTTTACGTCATTGAATCGGACTCTGAATGACTTAAAACTGTGATATTTTTTTAATAAAACCTTTTATTTATTTTATATTAAAGTTTTTTTCTGAAACCTGCATAAACAGCTGTAATGTGTAAATGTTGAAATATTTTGTTTGATTGGGATTTCAGTGAAATAAACAAAAATAAAGATAAGGTATGAAATAATACATTTGTTTTATTTTGAAGTATAGGTCAAAGTGAACTCAAAGAGATCAAAGAAATTAAAAGTACAAGGTGGTTTTCCATTTTGGGATTTTTGTGGGCTAAGAAACTGCTTAGTAAACCTAACTAGGAGTGAGGTGAAGCCTTCATGAAGCTCAGCAAGAGTATTCTCGGGAGTTTTATTGGACTTGTAATAGGCCTCAGATTAAGGTAACTTTGAAAGCTCCCAACTCATATGAATTTAAGTTTGTGTGGGACTTCTCACCTTTGTGTAAGTTGGAATTGTGTAGGAAGAATCTTATGCTTTGTTGGGTGCCTGGACTCTCAGGCATTGAAAGTAACAAAGCTACTGACAAACTGACAAATGTTGGTTCAGTAGCAACTCTGTATGGCCCACAACCTTTCTGTGGCATCTCACGTAAGTTTGTGTGCACCTCCATCGTGTCATAGGTAACTGCATCACATTCTGGACGATGGCCTGAAGCACCTAAGTAAGTAAGCTCACTATTCCCTTCCTTCGCCTTATTCAATTTCGCCTTCAAACCAGGTTGCCTGGACATTCTGCGGCTGGATAGGTGAAGAATTAGACAAATAGTAGAACTAATTACTGGACAGGGTCAGTTCAGAAAACATATGCAACAGGTTTGTATGATGGTGCACCATTGTGCAGGAAGTGCTAAAGATTTGCGGAAACACTGATCACCTGCTCTTTGACTATGAGAAACTCTCTGAGGTAAGAAAGACAACACTTGGCACCTTTCCAAGGAGGAACTGATTGTTAGACTGCAGCCATTTATCAGGTTGTAGTTTTAAATATCCAAGCATACTTATGGTCTTACTTATTGGGGTACGAATTAGTTCGTCAAGTTCAGATGAAGTGCTTTGTAGCTGGCATGCCCCAGCAAGATAAGATCGAGATAAAGGGGACACAGAAAAATGGGACTTGAAGAAGAAGGAGACTGCATATTTAATCATGAGTTAGGAAATAACTCTTACAGGTGTGAGGTGGTGTACCCCAAGAGGATCAAGTGCTTTAGTAGCAACTAGGAATAAGGATACATTCTACTTTGAAACCATCAGCTAATAAATTTCTTTATAAGGAACCGTCACTGGAGGTATCACTCTAGAAAACCCTGGAACTTAGAAACTGAGACACACTAGATCTTGTAGGTGGCAATGCATTTCTTTCCCATTGATTTAATCACTATCCGTTTCCAACTAATATACAAAAACATAACTGAACAAAATGAACGGTATCAGCACCCTGACTTTCTCCCATAAGCTTCTCAACAACCTTTATCATGAGTACCTAAGCAGTGGGATTAACTTTAACTATGATATTTTGTAGGGAAAAATTACATAATTTTTGAACCGTAATTGTTACAGCAATGGGGGGTTGCACTATTTTGTTTATAACTATAAGGACCATAACACGTTAATTTTAATCAAAACAGTTTTTTTCCTAAAATCTAATTTTTTGTTCTTTTATGGGAAAATAACATGTTACAATAACTTTTGAGCCGTAATTTTTACGGAAATAGGATTTGTACTATTTTGTTCAGAATTTAAAGGACTATAACATACCAAGTTTTCATCAAAATCGTTTGGGCCGTTTTTGAGAAAATCCTATTTTTCCGTTATTTTATGGGTTTTTATGGAAAAATCCCCATTAAAAATCAAAATTTCGAAAAATGAAAAAAAACTCCTGGAGATACCATGGATTAGTAGGTACCTAAATACCAAATTTCATCAAAATCTGACTACAGGTGTGTTCTGTAGCGCTGTACACATCCACACTCACACACAGACATCACTTTGAAAACCACTTTTTTGGGTTCAGGGGGACCCAAACAGATATGTCTACTCAAAATTCAAAAATTTTGTAGAAAACAATACTTTCCCCATATACTATGTATAGGGCCCAGAAAGTAAAAAGTAAAAATTTAGTTGATGCAAATTTTGATTTTAGAAGTTAACATTGAAATAAGTGAATCGGAATTAAACAAAAAAATCAGCTCATCACTATTTGCAAACATTTGTTGGACATTCATTGTTTTGTATGATAGGTAAAAGTTTTGAGCACATGTTTTTGCCGTCTCTCATAAAACTGTTAATAACCTATGGTTTATTGCTTGAACTATATATAATTTGTTAGTTTAACTGAAACTTTTCCAAAATCTAGGTTAAAATATGTGACTTCAATAAAACTAATGGGGTGGATGCAGGGGTAGCCCTGGGGTGGATGAACATTGAGTGCGACTAGAGTAAAGATACAATTTTATTGTTGTAAAGAAAAAAATCATTTTGTCTCCAAATTACTACAAATTAATATTGGTAAGAGAAAGCTTTAATAATATGTGGATGTATAAGCAGTTTTTAACAATTCATAAAATAAAAAAATGTTAGTGGAATCTAGGCTAAGGATGGTAAATATTTGGGTTATTATTAAAGGTAATTAATTGTGAATATGAACGGTAAATAAAGTCTCTATTGTAATTTGGATTGTATCTGAAAGAAAAATAACAGTTTTGTTATCTAATTGTCCTCAAACTTCTATGGCAAGTATGTAATTTTGTTTATACAACATGTTACCAATAAAAATTGAACAAAAATGTCCAATATCAACAGAGTTTGTTTTTTACAAACGAATGAAAAACACAATTTTGCTAAGTCTTGATTAATAGCTTTCAGGTTCATGGTTTTGTCTTTATTCTTTTATTCTTAATTTTTTATGGAGCTCAAGACGAGAAATTCTATGGGAATTACCATTTTAAAATTTTATTTACTTTCAAAGGCAAATAAATTATACCTATTGTGTTTGATTTAGATTGAGGTTATTGAGGATCGGTTTATTGAGATGAACTTATCTGGGATTTATAGTCTCTTTTAACTAAAGAGTAAAGAAATTCATACTTGTAATTCATTTATTTTAAATAAGTCTGAATGGTACCACAAAGCTATTTTAGGAATCAAAAATAATTTGTACATGAATTTTTGTAGGCTGTATCAAAATAAACGGTCTCAGGTAATTGATGCATCCTTTCTCCCATTAGCTTGTCACAATCCTTCATAATCAGTTAGCATGAGAGTAACAGTGATAGATATTGTATGCACAAATCATAATTCCGTGCCCATAGTAGTGACTCAGTTTTATCATGGATGTTTTATCTATGGTTTTATTAGCATAATTAGTATAATTAACTTCATAACTTTTTTTATTTATAATTTTGATAGTTGTATTGAAATTTTGCCAAAAAACTTAGTATCTGTAAACCAATTGGATTGAAATGTCCAACCATAGAGTCCACTGATCTAGCCTCCCATTGCAAAGGCGTGGCGCACCGTCTGGCTTGGACAAAAAGATGCCAAGACCAAATTTAAGTGTAAAACCTTATAAAAAAAACCATGTGCCAGAGACAAATGTAAATTATTTGTGAAGTGTGTTTAAAAGGACTTTTAAACCAACCACTGGACGAGGATGTTTAAAGAAAAATCACACATTATTAAAGAAAGTTAAAATTTTGTTTATATTTTGTACAGTATTTTCTACAAACCGGGTATGTCATCCATGAAATATTTACTGCTTCCATGGTTTTTTTACAAATAGTATAGGCCTACTTTTGTAAAATTTTAAATAATTTTTGTTTGCAATAAAAACTAGTTTAACTACGATTTCTCCTCTTTAACACCATTATTACATTTCATCATGAAAAAATTAAGGGTTCAAACTATTATTTTCTAATTAATTAAGGGATAGTTTAGGATCACACAATTTACGTAACAATATGAGAAAATTAATATAGATATTTGATAACTTCACAGACCTTAATGAAACACCTTTAACAGGAAGTCTAAACTTAAAAAATGTGTTCTGAATCGATAAACAGTAAAGCACTGTATTTAGGTTTGTAGATAATCTAAATCTATGCACTCAAAAGCTAAGCAAATATTGTACACCTGTGTCGATTAAATTGTGTTAATACATTATGCTGCTGAATAATAAAAAAATATGGTTTTTAATATTTTAGCATTGACTATTGGATACTGAAGTTTATTGGATACTATTGTATTGATAGTCACAGATTGGTACTTTCCTGTTAAAGGGAACATTCATTAATATCGATGATTTTCGATCGATATATCGATATTAACGAATTGAAACCTATTAGCTGACAACTACGGTAAATAAATATTGTTTAGTATAAAAAAAATATTGAAATGAAACTGTTCCAAACCAACCTAACAAATCTAACCAAACTTGCTGTAGGCCTAACATTTAAAAATTCCGTTTAATATTCCCCACATGCCTTTTCTGTAATCAAACGGAATTTTAAAATGGTACAGCAAGTTTTGTTGGTTATGTTAGGGTAGCTTAGAACAGTTTTAATCCATAATAGACTAAAACAAGATCAGTTGTCAATTTGTAATGGATCGTAAAGGAAAACAAAACTATCGATATATCGATTAAAAATCATCGATAATAATGAATGTTCCCTTTAACAGGAAAGTACCCAAAGGGTAATAGTTTAAAAATAATAATAATAATAAAACGGAACACCCTCGTCTAAACACACAGCCTCGAACTGCGCCTTCAAAAGTGGAATTGCAAAACTGATGCAGGAGTTAGATTGCGTTAATATTTGTACGGCGTTTCACATACGCCTTCCTTGACCATTGTATTTTTTGGTTATTTTCCTAATGTTAATGCTATTGGCTTTATTTTCGTTCAAAACCATGGTCCTGTTACTAACGCCTACCTTTTGTAAGAAACCGTCATTTGATGTAGGTCCTAGTCGAATCGGCATTTTAAAGTGAACACTTTAAACATTACTAACTGTTCAAAAATTATTTGAGAATATAAAAAAC